AAAAAAAATTAAAGAGTAATGTTAGCCGCAATATTTTTTAAGTTATTCTTCGTTCACTGGAGCTCCATCAGAATGACATTGTATTTAAATTTTTTATTGATCCGTTTTCCCAATTAAAGTCGTATGCATTAGAACAATCAATTGTCTATTGTTATTGTACACATCCTTTAGAGTGTTTAATTTATTTTATTTTATTTGTTTATATTTAAAAAAAGAATCAATTGAGAGGAACACAACGAACAGAACGAAAGAAATTGTTCTGCGACCAGCAGAACGAAAAAAAAATTGTTCTGCAACGAAGTGATTGCGACGAAGTGTCGTGCGACGAAATGTACTAGTGCCCACCCTTGGCAATACAAACTTACTTATTTTCAGAATCAAAACATTTGACTAAATTTTCCTTCGACCAATTTGTAAATTTATTTTTTTTCTGAAAAATCTTGAAGCGTCTCAAATTGTATGGACTCTGACAAATTAACTTGAAATTATATCTAACAAGTTCGAGCCAAATAGGGCGTCTGTGTCTGTCGGCAGAAAATATTCTCCTAATGAATTAAGGTGAATTATTTGAAATCGTTGCAATTTGATTTATGACGACGCTTCGGAAATTTTGATTCTTGTATGTGAAGGAAACAGTATTCCTTAAGAATAAAAAATATTGGAACTTTGGTTTCGCTCTAGATGCTAGAAGAAAGGTTTTCGAGACAAAAGTTCAGTAGTGTCAAACTTGAAAGTTAAATTCAATTGAAATTTCAACTTTCCACTGAAACTTCAACTTTCAAGTTTCAAGTTTCAAAACCTGTGCGGTTTGACAATCCCGGAAGTCCATTTGTGGTACCCTCACTTGCTGCGATAATGTGTGTGAGAGAGTGGCTCTGAGTCCCGACTCCCAGAAGTCCTTTCCTGGCACCCTCACCTGCTGCGATGATGTGTGTGAGAGCGCGTTATTTGTTTGAAAGTTGAAACTTGAAACTTGAAATTTGAAATTTGAAACTTGAAATTTCAATTGAATTCAACTTTCAAGTTTGGCATATATGATTCAATCAGGGTTTAGTCTTTCTTCTGGAAGAAAACTGAAAGACTAATAGAGTCTCCACGTGGTTGATACGTGGTAGTAGCTATGTTTACATTTGTGAAAGGTCTAGAAGGATATAAAATGCTTTGGAAAAAAACTTCAGATTTATTTAAACTGAGCAGCCATATAGACCATGACAACTAATTATAAAAGAAAGTCACTAATTCGATATAGACTGAATCTTTGGGTGATTCAAAAGATCCGCTTGCTATTGACATCTATTGCTGTATACGTATAGCAAACAGAAACATCATAAAACTATTTTACCACACAATTTTCGATCCAAGCTAGTTGATTTCCATTCAATAATATACGTTTTCAAGAGAAACGCAAATATTGTGACTTGCATTTAGAATTTATTTTATTCTTTTAATTGCCTACTTAGAACAATCAACGATGATAGTGATGAACAACAAATAACCGACACTTCGAATTCGGTTGGCGGTCAAAAATGCATTTTGTGTTTTAAATTCATCGATGAAGCACACTATATAAGACATGTACAGATGTGCTGCGAATCAATGACGACTTCAAACAAGACTAAATCGTGTATAATTTGCTCAAAGCCAATTGCAGGCAACGAATACATCGCTCATGTGAATGCGTGTCTTAATAATTCATCACGCTCGATCCATTCAGTTCCAAGAAAACACTCTACATGTTTTATTTGGTGAGTAGAACATTCGTATTGAATTACTGTGCGGGTCAAAAATCTAGGTATCTCTATTTTTTTGAGTTGTGTACTGAAACTACACAACATTCATTTAATTCAATGATATGTTTGGATAGCAGAGACCAAGTACTATTAATATATATCTGCTCAATTCAAAAAACTCTTGAATATGGAATACAATTAGAAAAATAAACTTCAATTCCAAGAAAAAAATTATGTAAAAAGACTATAAAATCATATGGTTGTTATAAGACATTTCCGTGGTCAGTCAACTAAAAGACAAACAGAATATTTAGAAAATTTTTTATTTTATGAGACTTCTTAGGACATTTTTCGCTGTTCATTTTGGTAAAAAAATCATTTTGACTTTCACTGAGATAGGACGGTGTTAATAGTCAAAATATTAAATACTGAAATGCCGAGTCTCCCAAAATGTTTGCGACATAATTTTTTTACGAATATCACTATACAGACAAATGACAAAATCTTGGTTTCAAAAGAGGCGCCGTGAAAAGCTCTACAAAAACTGTACAACTAAATCGCTATTGATTTGTTCTGATGGTTTCTTCCATACTCGAAACTGAAGACAAACATGATATTGCTACTTTCCATAGTATCTAACATTATAAAAATGTTGAAAAGACTTTTATATTTTGCATGTATCTCGGCTTAAGAAAATGATAACACCTTGATTTCTTTTTCAAAAGATGTTTTGTCGAAAGTTCTACAAAACGTGTATAAACAATTCATATTGGAAAACAAAAAGTCTTTAATATATTTTTACTATTATTTTGTAGTTTGGCATGTCATTCTTTTCCTAATATCGAAGTTTGTTTTTCTTATTGTGTTTCATATTCGAGAGATTTTTCGAATTCAACAAGTGTATATTGATAGTACTTGATCTCTGCTATCCAAACATATCATTGAATTAGATTAATGTTGTGTAGTTTCAATACAGGACTCAAAAACAAAAAAAAGAGGTACCAGACTTTTGATTCGCACAATAGAATGTTTTAATGATTGAAATTTTTTATGGATTTTATTTGAGAATGTTGTGAACTACGTAGAGTTCAATGTATCGTGATTATGACTTCAGAGTATTTTCGTTAAATCAGACCAGATTAGATCTTTATGTGTTCCTATGTTCGGAAATGCAAAGATTATTCTAATTAACTAATAAATCACAACATCAAGTCAAAACACAAAGTCGTTTCTTACTGAATCAATTGCTCGGGTACGATAATTTCAAAATCGAAGGAAAATATTGTCAAAGCAGTCTTTTTGAAAAAAATTGTAAGATGATGTCGAAAGGATACAATATAGAGCACCAATGAGCATCATTAAACATTACTTCAACCGTATTGATCAATCACGTTCCACTAAATTATAGGCTCTCTTTATTTTTTGATTTCTCATTGCCTACTGTGAACAATCCATGGAACCTATAGATTTCAATTGTATGTTTCTTCTTTTTTTAAGCAAGTCACCATTTGCTTCTAACGGTCTTCTGAATCATGTGATGCCATGCCGATTTCATCACGAATATTGTATCCCTTGTATACAAAAATCGATGGAAGAACATATAGAATCAAAGACCAATCCAGTTTGTTTTACGGGCGTTTGTGATTATCAACTGTCAAAATATGATGTGGCATGTTTACCATTTGATGAGAATATGATTACACATTTATCGGCTCTTGTTACTATAGAACGACGTGCTCAATGTCCTAAATGTCTTTTCTATGGTGAATTCAAAACCATGTCGAGATTTCAAAAGCATGTGGCATCATGCGATCCAGATGATATGGTTCCATGTGAATCTTGCCACTGTCTATATAGATTTCATCAATTGGATGAACATTACCGATATTGTCATAATATTCCAGTACACCAAAGACAAGAAGCATTTATAGATTTTATTATATCGAAATCGAAATATCCATTTACACCAGTACAAGTTCGTTATTACATTGAACTTCAAAAGCAAAAGCGACGGGTGATTGATCCACATGAAATTGTCGACGGTTTGGCTGCATTCGGTATGTTCTCTCATGATGTTGAAGGTCAATTGACAGAATTCTCAAAATCAGCCGCTTTCTTTGTCCATTGATTTTTTTTTATTTGATTGCGTTCGGTTAAGTTTTCAGATGAGAAAATTCAAATGATTTCTTCGTCGTGAAAGCCGGGAAAACTTTGAAAAACTGAGCAGCATGCACACACTAACAGGGCCTAACAAGATTCACGAAATAGAAACTGATGGAAAAAAGTGCAAACTACTCACTACTTCGAGTATCCATGATTAAAAGTGTCTTTTTTTCTTCGATTTTAGAAGATGAATTCCCATACAAAGTGCCTACTCTCGACTGTGGTGTTTGCATGGAATCATATCCATACGAGGATATTTTCGTTTTCGGATGCAAGGACGATCATAAATTGTGCTACACTTGCTTCGAGCAAGCATGCACAGCTAAGATGAATAGTGGTGAAGTGCTTACGTGCGCTTTATGTAATTATCAATTGCAGGATGGAGATATTAATCAATTGCGAGTGTCACGGAATCAGAAGAGAAAGTTTCATGAATATCAAATACAGAAGACATTTGCTAATTTCGTTAGCAATGCTCGTGGCATAATTAAATGTCCGAATCGAGATTGTAAATGGGTAGTGGAAGTGCGAAACCCCAATGAACGCTTTCGAGTCAAATGTAATGCTTGTTCGAACGAGTTTTGTTCAATTTGTAATCAACAGTATCACTATCGATCGAGTTGCCAGGAAGTAACGCAAATAATGCAAAGATGGTTTGTTTGGTGTAATACAGGTAAATAAAACATGAGTAGATCAAGATCATATTAGATTTCATTTGTTTAAATTACTTTGAAGAACGTGGCAATTACTGGAAAATTCGAGCACAGCAAGATGCTGGCTGTCGTGCTCAATTGGATGATTATGAAAAACAACAAGGGGCGAATGCTAAGCGAAACGAAGAATTGCGTCGTCGTTACGAAGAATTGAAAGCGGATGAGGAGTTAAAAGCTAAGACTTGTCGTCTTTGTCCATATTGTAAACGAGTCGTGCAACACATGGGAGGATGCAGTAGTATGATATGTGGGCAAAATTACCATGGAGGTGATCAGCAATCAGGATGTGGCAAAAATTTTGACTGGAACCAGGCACTACCTTACATACCAATCGTAAATACGGTTCACGAACAAATGAAAAGTGCCCTAGACAATCAACAAAGAGTCGTACATACAGGGATCAGGTAAATAATTCGATACAATTAACCTATAGATCTATGACAAAATCACTTTCAGGTGCAAGAATTGCCACAAAGAAATTGAGGGCATTCGCTTTGATTGTATTCATTGTCATTCATTGAATTATTGTGAGATATGTGAACAACGGTGCACTCTGGCTCATTCGGAAGAACTTCGACGACAGAAAAAACAACAACATGTATTTCGACTGGTAACGACACCAGAAGCTTCACACAAATGACAATATTGAATTTAAGCTAAATTTTTCACGCAAAGTTTCTTTTCAAATGTTTACTAAAATAATAAATGAAAATTCAATAATAACTCCGATCATGCCAATTTACTTGATATCTGTTGTTTTGTACCTTTATTCTGGAAAGCATATGAGCTTTCAATGTTGTTCAACATATCATTTTCAAGCATAAATGAAAAACAGGTTAAGATGTATATAAGATTTTTTTCTTTCTGTAGCCATAGGGACAAGCATTGTAGCGCAAGAAGAAGAAAATTATTTTTTTTTGTCGCATTACAGTGTTTCTCTCATTTGTACATATGGATTTTCGTTTTTGTCGGTCATGTAACTAGCATATATACAAGGCAATCTTTATATGATAGGAATGTTCTTGTTTCGATGTATTTAGTAATTCTTTAATTTTCGTGCTTTGCCATTCGCTCCCTATCTCTTACCAGTGCTTCGGCTTCTTTTAAATGACATGATCAACTGCATTGCTTCTTCGTTGTTTTTCCTCAATTAAGCGTGCCTGTGGATGTCTGGATAGAGAACAGATTGATCTCACATCTGCACCCACATCCACATCACTCCCTTGAACATGAGATATAGTATAGTATAGTTGTTGATATTCGATGAACTAGATTGATTTGGAATCATACCATTAGCACTGGGAACATGAATACAATGAGATAGTACTAGAAGTTAGTTGATACGAAAGTCCGAGTATATAACTGATGAACTAGCTGAGTCCTGATCTTGAACAATTCTGTTGTTGATGAGGCTGTCGGTGTGGAGTGTGGGTGGATGTGGGTGTGGATGTGGGTGCGGGTTTGGATGTGGGCGTGGGTGTGGCTGTGGATGCGGGTGTGGGCGTGGGCGTGGGCGTGGGCGTGGGCGTATCGTGTGGACGTGGGTTGAGGGTGAGTGAATAGTCTCGGTGTGGACGTGATATCAGCTACGAGAAGACTAAAACACACATCCACACCCACACCCCATACAAAGACAATTTCAAGTTATATATCAAAAATCATTTACATACTATTTATTCATTGATACTTTTTAAAATGCATATTAATGAAATTTGAGCTATTGAATAACGAATGTCATAATCAAGGAATCTTGTAAATTCTANATAATGTTTTTTACGAATATCACTATACAGACAAATGACAAAATCTTGGTTTCAAAAGAGGCGCCGTGAAAAACTCTACAAAAACTGTAAAAATAAATCGCTATTGATTTGTTCTGATGGTTTCTTCCATACGCGAAACTGAAGAGAAACATGAGAGTGCTACTTTCCATAGTATCTAACATTATAAAAATGTTGGAAAGACTTTTATATTTTGCATGTATCTCGGCTTAAGAAAATGATAACACCTTGATTTCTTTTTCAAAAGATGTTTTGTCGAAAGTTCTACAAAACGTGTATAAACAATTCATATTGGAAAACAAAAAGTCTTTCATATATTTTTACTATTATTTTGTAGTATTGCATGTCATTCTTTTCCTAATATCGAAGTTTGTTTTTCTTATTGTGTTTCATATTCGAGAGGTTTTTCGAATTCAACAAGTGTATATTGATAGTACTTGATCTCTGCTATCCAAACATATCATTGAATTAGATTAATGTTGTGTAGTTTCAATACAGGACTCAAAAAGAAAAAAAAGAGGTACCAGACTTTTGATTCGCACAATAGAATGTTTTAATGATTGAGATTTTTTATGGATTTTATTTGAGAATGTTGTGAACTACGTAGAGTCCAATGTATCGTGATTATGACTTCAGAGTTTTTTCGTTAAATCAGACCAGATTAGATCTTTATATGTTCCTATGTTCGGAAATGCAAAGATTATTCTAATTAACTAATAAATCACAACATCAAGTCAAAACACAAAGTTGTTTCTTACTGAATCAATTGCTCGGGTACGATAATTTCAAAATCGAAGAAAAATATTGTCAAAGCAGTCTTTTTGAAAAAAAATTGTAACATGATGTCGAAAGGATACAATATAAAGCACCAATGAGCATCTTTAAACATTACTTCAACCGTATTGATCAATCACGTTCCACTAAATTATAGGCTCTCTTTATTTTTTGATTTCTTATTGCCTACTGTGAACAATCCATGGAACCTATAGATTTCGATTGTATGTTTCTTCTTTTTTTAAGCAAGTCACCATTTGCTTCTAACGGTCTTCTGAATCATGTGATGCCATGCCGATTTCATCACGAATATTGTATCCCTTGTATACAAAA